CACCCCATGAAATTATTCCAGCTAGGTCATCCATGGGGAGCCTGGGAAACCTAGGTAGCCCCAGACCACTTGCTATGTATAGGGTGCTCCCTACAGCTCCAGGTTACTTACTGTGTCCCTGTACAACCTGTTGTGTGCCCTGCCTGATGCCCTTGTCTCATCCTAAGCCCTAGGTAACAGAATTCTGCTTTTTATCTACCCAAGTGTCATCAAGAACATTTAAATCTTACAAAACAACTACAAACCCAGAAGAGTGTTAGGAATGCAGTGAATGTTGAAAGTTATTCAGCTATTAGCCTAAACTCAAACAGCACTGGTAAATTTAAATCAGAGAAACATCTTCGGAGTGCAGGCAACATGCTGTTTCCTTGTTCTATGTAATTACAGAGCAACATTTGGAGATGAGTCTTTGTGAAAGAGAGCTCAGCCATAAATTGAACTTCATGCCTCCAGACATCCCAGGAAGATTCTCTTAAGTACCAAGTATATTGGAAGCTTCCACGATAACACCTTGCACTTCCGGACCTGCCTGTAGTCCTTGCCAGAAATACGTTGTTACCAGTATCTGTTACGTTAGCCTTCCCTCCTCTGCCACACGGCAGAGTGCCACAGTGTGTATGAATCATCCTTACAGTGCTTGGGAGGCAGGAAGCTACACTTTCTCCCTTCATCTGGAGGACTCACCTGTCTCTTGACTTTTGGGGTATCTCATTCACTTCCCACTGATTGTTTTGGGTGGGATACTACCCAGTTCTGGACAAGAGGACTCCAGCTGGCTTCTGCAGGCAGCTTGTGGAGATTTCCCTTCTTCGTGAGTATATTTGATTGACTTATAATGGTTGGGTTCATTTTTCCACCCTCAGAGTCACCCGACCCAGGACTATCAGCAGAGATTAGAAGGGTTTGAATTCCACGCTATCCCCAGAATCAAAGCTCTCAGACACCAGGGAACACTACCCTGCTCACCTGTCCCATGACTCCAAGATTCAACCCTTCTCTCATTCATGAACTCAGGATACACTTCTGCCATAGCAGTAGAATTGTTTCACTGCATGCAACTGCTTTCACATATGTGTAGCATACTTAATGACGAGCTCCTTCCCTGCTCAAGGGCAGGACCCATATCTCTATATCACCCCACTACTCAGAACACAGTGCTTGGTGGGTGGAGCAGCAAGTCCACAGCCAGACCCTCTGAGTGACCACAGATATGAAGACAAGGCAGAGAAAACTGGATGGTGAGAGAATGAAACCTAGTGGGTTCTTCACCCACTGGGATGCATCTCATATATCTTGCAGTTTGGGGCCCAGGTCCCTTTATGGGCCACCTTGTCCCAAGGAACTCCCAGTTATGGAAAGAATAACCCTCTGCTTTGAACCAAGAATTGTTTCCTGAGAGTGGATTTTCCGACTCTCATGGATCCCAAGGCTCAGATTCATGTACACCTACAGCTACAACCCAGACAATCATCTTGAGAGGAGATATAAGAGGGTAGTGTCTTCAAAACGCAACTTACTTTCCTACAGAATACAGGAACCACACAAGCTATTCTCAAAACATTATAAATTTAGTGGAAAAAATGTTTTTTCTCACTGAGAGCTGTGTGTGCAGTAACAATATTGGATAAAACACCACATAAATGGTTCATGTCCACCTTGGCAACACAAAAGTATGTATTTGATTATATAAAAGGCTCCAAGGAGGGCTCAACTGGACAGTACTTTTTTTTAAACCAAAGATCATATTGATTATTTCATGCAGCTTTGAAATTAGCCCCAAAGACAGTCCCAAAGGAGGAATTTCAACACAACCTGACTGATAAGAGCATCCTGAGAATAAGACCACAGTAGTAACTGTGAAACCCATATGTGGCTACCTGTATGCATCCTGGTTTGCCTGTTAAAGTTCCAGTTACTTTACAATGCTTCACAGAAACTTTTTTTCCCCTGCAAAAAGTGCTATTTTTTCCATTTGGCCCAAGGCTTGGAGAGGGCTCCACGGTGGTTAACAAGCTGCCCTGTGGCTTCAGGGAGAAGCCCTGACCCCAGAAGGGCTCACAGGCCGCTGGGCTCCAGGGGCTCCTAGTGGTGCTTGAGGCTGAGCCTTTGGAAGAGACACTCACCCAGCCCAGCCTGGGGGCCGAGCAGCCTTTGGAGGTTGGTCAGGTGGTCGCCAGTCTTCATGATGAATTTCACCTGCTCATTCGGGAAGTGGCTCCAGGAAGTCCAGAGGTGGAGTCTGCGCGGGGAGAACCGAGGGCCTGCTGATCCACAGGGCCTGGTGCAGGTTTTTCTCTGTCAGCCGGGCGGCTTCCATGGCGTCCTGAGCTTTACCCACGGCTCCTGGAACGGCTTCAGCACGTCCTGGAAGAGGGCGCGGCTACGGCGCTGCTTTTGCCTTTTCCACTGAGCTCGGGCCTTCGGGCTTCTACTCGGCCAGTTCGCGAAACGATGTCGCACGCCCTCGAGAGCTGATGCGTCGGGTCAAAAGAGAAGCGCAGAGACAGGTAGGTGTGGGAGAGCGGCAGATGCACGTTATCAGGCGGGTGACGGCGGCCTCCACCTGGCGGAATAATTGTGACGAATTTGGGAGCTCATGGTTGGTCAGCAACGGGAACTAAGCTCAGAAAATGCTATTGGCTGGTCCCAGAGGCCAAGCAGAGCTGAGTGGGTGGTTCCAAGGTTGTGACTGGAAAAAAGGTTGGAGGGTGGTCAGAGTCTGGAGGAAGGGGCGCCCCTGGGTCTGTTCAGTCCAAATGCTGTTGAAATGAGAGATCTGCCGGACGGCCAAGAAACTTTTATAAAATTAAGCAATGAGCTTTCTTTTCCGTGTTTGTTTTTCTGAATTTAACTTAGCTATGTGTTTTTTATTGTCTTTGTTGTAGTTGCAGTTCAGCACATAGAAAATTAGAAACGCCCGTCTACTCAGGAGTAAAGACTTCAAGAAACACCAGGAAGAGGAAAGACTTAGGACTCACCTGGGATGGCCGCACAGCTACATGATCATCCTCACCCCTCTGGGTAAAGTACAAACTTCCCAAACAATGGCTAACAGTCCAGGGAAATAATTCCTCCCTTCGCCAAACCATCCTTGATCCGCTGTCCCTGAAACTTCCTCAACGCATACTGACCCTCCAGTAGAGACCATAACCTCCCCTAACTTTGTCCCCTTCAGACTGTGATTCCTGGACCTTGTTAACAGGCATTTCAGGTATAGTTTTCTGCTACCAGGGCTTGGGCTGATTTGCTTCCATCACATGACCTTTAGTGTGTACATTCGGTCTTCAAACGTGTGAGGCTGCAGGTTGTGGCAAGATGAGCACCCGGCTCCTGTTCTGGCTGCCATCAGCACATCATCAAACCTGCAGGGATGGTGCTAGGATGGGGAAGAGCAGGGGTTATCTCCCAGCCAGGTTGAAACCACCTGATCCTGTGTGTATATCCACACACTAGGCTTTTGGGCCTCCCTATCCCATGCTTGTCTCACAAGTCTCCCTGGAGCATTTGTGCATTTGTGTCCTCATACCTGGTGTGGTAGTTCAGCACCTCTCTCTATTCCCACAAGCCTCTAATGTGTGTCACATACACTGGTTGTGTGTCTCATGACTATCACATGTCTGTTCTGTTGTGGAAGTGGTGTAATGCATGTGTGTGCCTAGGGCCTAGGCTTGTTGAGGGGTGTCAGCATGCAGACCTCATCAGTGTCCCCAGGATGCCTGTGCACGGGCCTCCAAGTTGTGCTGAGGTGTATCATTATTGTTACCGGACTCAGTGGGTCCTTCCCTTGGGGTGCATAGCCAGTGAACACACCAAGTACTTTCAGTTAAAGCAGAAGCATTTATTACTTGTGACAAGTAAGGAGACAGGGAGATAGCTCTCAAAGCACTGGACTGAAGTATTAAGCCTGGGGGGCATGCATATTCAAGAAAGGACCGGCTTGGAAAAGGTTACTGTAGGTTGCCAAAATTTATTGTTCCGGACTCAGTGGGTCCTTCCCTTGGGGTGCATAGCCAGTGAACACACCAAGTACTTTCAGTTAAAGCAGAAGCATTTATTACTTGTGACAAGTAAGGAGACAGGGAGATAGCTCTCAAAGCACTGGACTGAAGTATTAAGCCTGGGGGGCATGCATATTCAAGAAAGGACCGGCTTGGAAAAGGTTACTGTAGGTTGCCAAAATCTGCAAGCAAGCAGGCACTGGGTTGTTTGCTCACAGTGTGTTATCTTGTTCACTGGGATTCACTGTAACCTTTTCGGAATGTTGGGTATTTGGAGCTTTGTGCCATGAATCTCCTCCAATCTGTTTTCTTAGAGCATTTCCGTTAGCAAACTTCTAATTCTGAAATCTTTCTCTGTCCCTTTGAGACATACATAAAGCTTTCGAAAAGCTAAATAATCCTCTTGTCAGTTTTACAACTGTGTAAAAATGTGCTCCCGGGATTTTAATTTATGGAGGTGACTGAGTGAGGACAGGAGAGGCTACTGCCATTGAAAGTTCCCCAAGGAAACGACAGGCACAGCAGGCCACGTAAGGCCACATGAAGCCTGTCACATGCAGGTGTCAGGAAGCAGAGAGGAACTGGGGCTGTGCCTTTATGACCACAGTGGCGGGAAGAACTAGGTAGTGACCTCCACTAGTGGGCAGGAAGCAAAAACACACATGCTATAGCTGGGAGTTTGTAACCCGTGGCCATGAGACGCGGTCAGAGATGGGCCGGGACGTAACGAGGTCGGGCGTCCGAGCGGCCGGCCGGCAGTGCGCCCTCGCCGGCCAGCGATCCGGATCCGTCCCGCTAGTTTCCGCCGGTTGTCGGGCGCCATCTGGCGGTCACGTTTATTTTGTCCCTTCCCGTCCGGAGCTCGGGCGACGTCTGCAGGGGATGGGATTCGGCCGCGATGCCCGAGGCAGAGTTCCGGGAGGTCGGTGGGGCTGGCGGGATCATCCCGGTCTTGCCGGGCGGGCGCGCTTAGTGCTCTCTCCGGAGGTTGTACCTGCAGACTCATAGGGAAGAGGCTGGGTCCCTCCGGTTGCCGGGGGGGAGCAGGAAGGGAGTCTCCCGGGTGGGGAGGCCCGAGGAGGGCGTGAGCCGTTCGGCCGCGGGCTCGCGTAGCCCGGTCTGCAGAGGTTCCCCCAGGTCCTGATCCAGAGGCCGGCCGGACCCGCACTGCCTGCGGGCGAACCAGGTAGGGCAAGCCGGGCCGCCTCTGCCCCCCGGGGTCGTGGGTAGAAGGGGTGACTGTCAACAGGTTCTATCATTTTCTTCACAAGGGAATTAGTGATGCAGCCCTGGTCTCCAGCTCTGAAGGGCTTCCCCTACTCAGCCAAGGAGGTATTTTTTTGTTTTTGTTTTTTTGTTTTTTTTTTAAAAAAGGTCTGGAGCCACCTCTTTGGAAAGAAAACATCAAGGAAGATCCCAGTTGCTGCGGTAGGCGTCGGGCCCTAGGTTTCCGGTCATAAAGACACGGATGGGAAGTTCTAGGATTGCTTCGGATAAAGGTGAAGAGCTCCTGCAGAGCATCACTCGAATTCCCAGACACATTTAGGATAAAACTAACAAATGGGACAGTCAAGTCCTCTCACCTGAAGGCAAGTGAGTGTTCATCTTGGTGCTTGCGTTGAACGGGCTCTATCTGCTTGGTGTATCATGAATGGGTGCGGTTTGTCTTTATAATGTCTTTAGTGGGTTGTCTGTGACGTGCATCACAGTTTAGTTTCGTGCTCATAGAACAAAGTATGTTTTTCTCTGCTTTGTGGAGAAGGTCTTGTTTTATTATCTCCCCAACATTGGTCACCGTGTCAAACAGTATCAGATCCAATACAGGTGAAATTGAGAAACGTGGCATAATCCTAAAACAACGCCTATTGCAAGAAGGAAGAGTATTTTCTAGTATCAAGTCTGTAGGCTAAAGGGGGGATTAACTACAAATGGCAGGAGAAAACCTTTGGTTTCAGAAGGGTAACCCTGTGCCAATGTTTTACAAACACTGTACTTAAAATGCATTTTATTTTTAAGTTGATTATACGTAACAAAGCTTTTTAAAAAGCACAATTATGTTCTGGAATGTGGAAGACCACCTTCAGGTTGACTAAATTGCTATCCACACTTGCAGAAGTTAGAGAAGCTACTATGAATTAAGGGCTAAATGGTCTGTTACAGTGAATGGATACAGATGAAAAGCACGAAAGATGGCACAATAGGACAAAGTCACAGAGGGACCACAGTGCCAGTTTCCTGTGCCCTGTCACTTAGGTCTCACAGCATCCGTGGGTGACAATATGAAGTGTACTGCTAACGGGGGACCTCACACAAGACCTGGTATTATACAGGCTTTTTTTTCACTGTGTCACGCACAAGGGACACGTGTGTGGCTGAACCTACTCTCTAGCTTCTCTGAGTGTCAAACTGCTACAGAGACCCTTAAGGCTCCCCTACCCAGTGAGTGGTATGTCAAATTATTAGTATAAATCAGCTAGCATGGCACAAAGGCCCCGGGTAAACACACACTCTTATTAGTCCAAATGTTTCAAGGGCTTAGAAGTTATCTCCCAAGAGTCGGGCCACTCTGCCAAACGTTTCTTTCAAATGAATACAGATTGGACAACTCAGGCCTGTGATGTAATCCTTTATACAGGTCAAGTAAAAATACTCAAAACTCGTACCCTTGTTTTAGCACATGTTGGTATTTATTATCTATGTTCTCAACCTTATTTATGAGCATCTGTATTAGGGAAATAGAAAGGAGTGCTACTGCATGTGTTCCCCAGTCCACATTGGATGACCTTGAAACTGTGCCCCATAGGGTTAACAGAAGCTGATGCCTAACAACTTCTTGAGCTAGAATTATAGAGAAGGGAACAATATCATGTCCAAACCCCTCTGCTTGTGAATTGCCTTAATTGGTTAAGCTCACTTGGGTGGGTTTTTTTCCTCCTACTTGCATGTGCTCCAAGCTTTCTCCCTAGTTGGGCCATGTAGGTTTTCTCTTCTCTAGCTGTGGAGTGGGCTCAGTTTGTTGCATGTAGGCTTAGTTGCCCCACTGCATGTGGGATCGTAGTTCCCTGACTAGGGATTGAATCACCCTCATCCCCTACTGTGGAAGGTGGATTCTTTACCACTGGACCACCAGGGAAGTCCCCCACTGTAGAAAACATCTCTGACAGGGTGGGGACACTGTAGGAAAGGGAGCCTCAGTTGTTTTTTAGGAATTTGGAGTCAGCTCTTGTCGAGCTATGTGTGAAGAACAGAAGCCTGTAATGCAGATACACCTGTACACACTGACTACTGCCTCACCTTTTCTCTAACTCTGATTGCCCTTCCCCCCACCTAGGACCACCCTGCCTCTTTGTCCCCTACAGCACCTCACCTCCAGGAAGGTGGTTGTGAGACTTTTTTGTCTCCTGGCTTGCTGCCTTGAGTGAAATTCCTCTCGGGCAAGCTTTGACATCCCACTGTTTGGCTTCTTGCACCTCTGGTTCAGTAAAATAACCTGTTCACAGTGTGAAACTCCCCACAGTTGGAGTATTCATACCAGGGAAGTTGGCACACACAAAAATTGGGGGGGGGTGTTGGGCTTTTCTTTTAGGTAGGTGTCTAGACTTACAGTAATGGAGACTATGTTAATAATGAGGACTACCTGTGGGGCCCTAAACATTTATTCCACAGCAAAGTCACTGAGAAAACTTGTTACAACACATTTCTTTTTATTCTCTCCACAGTTACTAATAAAAAGACATTTAATCAAAGAAGACAATACACCTGGCAGATGAACACAGGAATGTTCAACATCATGAATCACTAAGGAAATGCATCAGACCACAGTGAGGCATGTATCCACACTTTTAAAACAGGTACTATTCAGGGGCTTCTCTGGTGGTGCAGAGTCTGCCTGCCGATGCAGGGGACACGGGTTCGTGCCCCGGTCCGGGAAGATCCCACATTGCCGCGGAGCGGCTGGGCCCGTGAGCCATGGCCGCTGGGCCTGCGCGTCCGGAGCCTGTGCTCCGCAACGGAAGAGGCCACGACAGGGAGAGGCCCGTGTACCACAAAAAAAAATAATAGTAATATTCAAAACAGTAACCATACCAACCCACTACTGGTGAGGAACACAGGGGAAGGTTCCCATACTGTTAGAATGCAAAAAGGATACAACCCTATTCATTCGTTTTGAAATATGAAACCAGGGGCTTCCCTGGTCCTCTGTACTTCCACTGCTGGGGCCACAGGTTTAATCCCTGGTTGGGGGTAGATGCCCCATGGTGTGTGATGTGGCCAAAAAAAATTAGAAAATGAAACATAAAGAAAGACCCCACTGATATTAAAAGTCTAGAAAACACTAATGTATGGGAAAAAAGGAAATCAATAGTAGTTGCCTGGGAGTTGTGAGGGGGTGTTCAAAGGTGGGTGTGGCAGTGATGGTGGATGTTTGTAATTATAACAATTATGATGCTGGTTCTCGGGGGGGTTACCTGTGTTAAAATTTAATCAAGTTGCATATCTTAAGGGGTATGTTCAAATTCAATACATACCCATATACAGCTCAATTAAATTTTGGCTCCACATAAAAATCTGAGTTTGGGGGGTGGTGGTGTGCCATGTACCTTGCAGGAGCCAAGGATCCCCTGAATCTTACTCTGAATCTCCTTTTCAGTAGAGCTCGGGCAAACCACAACCCCATCCTTGACTCCTTATCTCATGGGAGGGATTCTGTAGTAGTAGCGATGAAGACTGGTGAGCAACGGAAGGTTTTTTAAATTTATTTTTGGTTGTTGAGCCATTGTTGCTGTGCCTGGGCTTTCTCTAGCTGTGGTGAGCAGGGGCTACTCTTGGTTGTGGTGTGTGGGCTTCTCATTGTGGTGGCCTCTCGTTGAAGAGCACAGGCTCTGGTAGTTGTGGCACACAGGCCTAGTTGCTCTGAGGCATGTGGGATCTTCCCAGGCCAGGGCTTGAACCCCTGTTCCCTGCAGTAGGTGGATTCTTAACCATTGTGCCACCAGGGGAGTCCCTGAAAAGTGTTTCCATTTAAGTTATCCAACAACACTGCCTGGGTCCTAAAAATCACATGTCTGTTCTACATGATTTCCCCATTGTTTTCACTATGCATCAAATGGCCTTGAGATAAACTACTTGCAGATGCTGAGGGAATCCTAAAACCTTTATGTTATTCAGTCTGACACTGACTGAGGCTCAGGAGGTTTCTGCAAAAACCTTAATGCAAAACAGCCACAGTGATGGGAACATACATGAATGCAATTTTATATTTTATTCCTTTTTCTTTGGTAGTCTCTCACTCCCTATAATTCCGTTTTAGTCCCACAGAGAGCTCTGCACTCTACCCCAGAAGGCCTTGGACAACAATGCAAAATGGGCCAGAACTGGAGTGAAAACTATTCTCTGCCATGATACTACCCCGTGAGGTATACTAAGTTTGGAACACCCACAAAACCTGTTCTTTTGTCCTGTCCTAGCCAGTTGATGGAAGAGGATGACAAAACCCAAGTGCTCAGGGTATCCATGCTTTTCTACAGGGCATATGAGAGCACAAAAGGCTACCTACCCTGATCACACTTAGATGACTGAGTCCCAGTATGGGGATCTGCCACTTGGAAAAGGTAAGAAACTCACAGTGACAGTAAGTCAGAAAATAGGGCATAGCTCCTGAAAAACTCCCTACAAACCTCATACACAGGCAATCTGCACACTAGGGTTGTTCAGTTGTATGGCATTCAACTTCCGTTGAGTCGCTCACAGAGCCTATTCAGTATGATGTAGTAACTAAGGAGACAGCTCATTTGCTACTCTCCTCATCTCATCTGAAGGCCTTTCTCCAGTATGAACTCTGGTGATAGATGAGATTATAGACCTTTGGCTGAAAGCTTTCTTACATTTGCTGCACTCATGGTCTTTTTCTGTGGTGTGACCTGTTTGGTGTTCAGTAAGCTGGGTGCTTGGGCTGAAGAATTCTCCATATTTAGTGCATGCATGTGTTTTTTTCCTCCAGTGTGACTGTCTTCTTAAGGCCTCTCTCCTGTGTGGCCTCTCTCATGCTCTGCAAGCCTATACACAGAGGGGTAGGCTTTCCCACATTCATAGCACTTATAGAGACTTTGACCATTGTGAAACACCGCTGAGTAGTCAGCATCCTTTTGTGGAGTGACCTGGTGCTGGAGA